CATATTATCCTAATAATGTGGCATATTATTAAAAATGTGAATAGAAACGTGTGTCGCTGGCTATGACGCAAATATTCGTTGATGAAATGTTGACATTTAATATTTATTCAACACATTTTTACAGCATTGGAAAACGTTAATAATGTTTGTGTCATGTTTGTCCTCTGACAGAAACCATATTAAAACAAAAAATATATTTCCCTTTTTCCATTTTCAAGCATTTTTGAAAAAGCTCTCGGGAGCCACTGGGAGCGCTAAAGAGCCGGATGCGGCTCGAGAGCCGCGTGTTGCCGACCCCCGCCCTAGATTGTTGCCATCAGCCTCGTGACCTGTTGATTTGGTTAAAAACTGCAGTGCCGTGAAAACAGTTTCTCAATTTTTTTTTCCAGCATAGTTTCCCCGACTTTAATGTTTAAGATTTAATGTTGAAGGGCACTAGATATCCTTCGTTTTGTTTTCATAACCATTCGGAAGTGGACTTACTGATGTGTTTTCAATCGTTGTCATGATGCAGAACCCAAATGACACAGTTGACTACCACATCCTCACTTCACTTGGTGTTTGACGGTTTTTTTGTGTGTGTGTGCCTTTTCCAGCGTGCATCAATGAGAGGTGAGAGGCATTGCCATGTAATGTGTTTATTGGTGAAGTTTAACTCTTCCTGCTGCTACTGATGGACGTGGGCTAATGTTAGCATTAGCTGGTGCTAAATCGGCCTCGCGCATATTGCCATTCGTGCCTCAGTGAATGTGCATGAGCATCAAAGCCCTCCAACCCATCGACAAGTAGCTTTTGGCTCAAGGTGCTCGTTGTCCACACCCCCACCCACAAGGTTGACAAGTAGGTTTTTCCGTACTATTATACCTACTGTAATTTCCATCTCTGAATAAACCTGGGGAAAAAATGTTTTCATCACAACAATCTCAAAGTCAGTGATGGTGTAGTGGTGCACTCGCCTGACTTGTATGCGGGCAGCGTGGGATCGGTTCCCACTCAGTGTCGTGTGAATGTTCGTTTGTGCCCTGCGACTAACTGGCGACCAGTTCAGGGGGTAGTCTGCCTACCGCCCGAAGTCAGCTGGGATCGGTTCCAGCCTCTCTCCGCACCCTGTTCAGGATAAGTGGTGTTGAAAATGGATGGACAACAATCTCACACACCTTAGTGATCATGCAACTGCAGACATCAATGCTGCTACTATCAGGGCTTGAGTTTTTAGAGAGAAATATGAACATTTAATTCTGAGGAACAGTTTCATTATTATGAAAATGCTCTCTATCTATCTATCCATCCATCCATCCATTCATGGATGGATGACTATGAGCTCATTGTGAAGAAATCAAAACCTATAACACCGAGAAGCCCAAGTAGAGACACAATTAAAGGTAATCTTATTGCAGGCAAATCAGCTCAGCAGGGGACTTTCCCAGAATATGATCTAAAAACCTGTGCTCTGCTCACTGGGATTCAGAGTCACCCCTAGGACAGAACTCTTAGGGTTTGTTCTGCTTAGAATAAATCCTTTTGTGAGCAGCTTAGCTCTTTGCCTCCAGCCTCATTTTTTTTCCATTTTGGTTTTTGATTTGCTCCTGATCCTTCAAGGCTGTGTGTTTTGTTTTTACTTTTCCAAATTCAGGCAACGAAATTGTCGACTGCTGAGAAGGGGACAGGGACTCCCTGATCCACTCGCTCAGCTGTGGGACCCTTTAGCCCACCTATTTTCTGGTGACATCAATCTGTTCTGGAATCAGTCATTGGTTCTGGAAGCTAGGTGAATACTGCATTTATTTTTTCCTTTGGCCTTGGGGAAGCATGTGGGTTACCTCGTGGCTCTGCCCATAGACGGAACCTGCAGCAGGTATCAGGCTGATTGTTTAGGCATGACTCGCTGGCCAAATGCCACTGTCCTCCAGAGGGGGTTGTCATTCGCAGTCACCAGCTAACCACTCAAATGGCATGATTTGGTACAGGTTCTGTCACTGAACCTCCATGCCATCTACTGGTCAGTATGACAAACGTTGGTCACAATTTACGGTAATCCAACATAAATATACGGACCAACCATGTTTGGATTCGTGTTATATTTTATTTCCTTTTTGCAAATAAAATATAAGCTATGATGAAACTGATAAGCCCAAGTCAATATTATGTTGGACCACAGTTCAAAAGAAATGCCTGATTGTCAGTTGATTTTAATTTGATTTGGATTGTTTGCCTGTTATGGATAAATACCGCAGTTAGTTTGCGAACAAACCCTGTAAAAGAAATCACCCCTCGCCTCTCCCCAGGCACATGTGCCAGCCCTTGACAAACTTTGAAATCCTGCACACTAAGTAAATAATTGCCCAAGTGACGAGCACAAAAACATTCTTATTATGCAATAACGCTGAGTGGATGTAATAATGCTCAGTTTTGATTGAGCCGGTTAGTTTGAATATTATTGAGGTTGTACAGTACTCACAAATGCACGCGGGCAATGCATCACATTGTGAGCTGTAACGTAGTTACTTGAACTGGCCAGGGTCAAAATATTAGACACTTATAAATCGATGCCTCACAGAAAGTGTCAATTAAAACTGAACAGCTCTTGTAATGGCTCTCATTAGATTGCGCATGTCATTATATTCCCAAAGCTTTTCCCACTCATAGTAGCTGCTGCACATAATTGCCTAATTTAGGTTTAGTATATTTTAGCTACAGATCTAGTTGAGCTAAGAACCCTTCCACTGACCAGAATTACAAACACTGGTGAAAAAAAATAAATATAGAAGTACTGTAGTTATTCATGCTATTTTCACAAGATAACTGTCTGAAAAGGCTAATGAGCTGCGTGCTGTCAACAGACAACATTGCGCTATGCCAAAACTTTTAATTTGACACTTCCCTTTCGATCATCAAGGGGACAAAGACAAAACATACCTGAAACCCCACAAGGCATCAGCTCGTGGCCATTGGTGTGTATCGTTTCCTCGGCACATCATGCTTAGGACAAATTGGTTATTTAAAGCCTGCTTCATTTGCACTCGTGGAGAAAGGGCAGAAAGGAAATGAGAAGCCCTTGACAGTTCAGCGGATGTATTTAATTAGCCCATTCATGCTCTGCTTTGCCATCTCAGCAGGCCCAATACTGTAGTTGGGTGTTTTTAAGAGTAATTGTCACCTGCCGCATCAGCGTTCAGCAGATCTCGGCATGAAAACAGAGGCAAAAAAAATAACCCCGTCTTCCTACCAAGGGGAGTTAAAAATAGATACGGGAATGCAAGCAAAAATATGCTTTCTGGTCAACATATGTAGATGAAATTGTTATTTTCACACATCAACTAGATGTGTGTGCATATAAGCTCCAATAGATACGACTATTAACATATCCTAGCTTTACTCAACTGGTATACGGGATGCTTACACAACAGTGAAAGGTTTTCAGTAAAAAGGACAATCTTTGGAGTGGTTGTTCCAGAAAGTGGCAACTCTCTGTTTAGAATGCGTCTGTGCCTAACAACAACAAAAAGGTTATCCATCTCTAACTCTCTTGAAACTGTAATCGAATGCATATATCTTACCTGTCCAAAATACAATTGCTGGATACGGGAAAGCTTCTCAACTATTTTGCTGTAATGTTTATTTGTGATACGTGTGAAATGTTACCAATATCCTATGTACTCATGATTAAGTTTAGTGAAGTAAACTTTCACTTTGAACGACTGGGGACAGAATTTGCTGGAGTCACATGGTGAAATAAAAATAAATAAATAATAAAATACATACATACATACATACATATACATATACACACACACACACACACACACACATATATATATATATATATATA